CCTGGAGAATGTTCCATGAGCACTTGAGAAAAATGTGTATTCTGTTGTTTTTGGATGGAATGTCCTATAAATATCAATTAAGTCCATCTCGTTTAATGTATCATTTAAAGCTTGTGTTTCCTTATTGATTTTCATTTTGGATGATCTGTCCATGGGTGAAAGTGGGGTGTTAAAGTCCCCTACTATGTGTGTGTTACTAACACACTCATAGTGTGTTACTAACACACTATGAGTGTGTTACTGTTGATTTCCCCTTTTATGGCTGTTAGTATTTGCCTTTTGTATTGAGGTGCTCCTATGTTGGGTGCATAAATATTTACAATTGTTATATCTTCTTCTTGTATTGATCCCTTGATCATTATGTAGTGTCCTTCTTTGTCTCTTCTAATAGTTCTTATTTTAAAGTCTATTTTATCTGATATGAGAATTGCTACTCCAGCTTTCTTTTGGTTCCCATTTGCATGAATATCTTTTTCCATCCCCTTACTTTCAGCCTGTATGTGTCGCTAGGTCTGAAGTGGGTCGCTTGTAGACAGCATATATAAGGGTCTTATTTTTGTATCCATTTAGCCAATCTGTGTGTTTTGGTGGGAGCATTTAGTCCATTTACGTTTAAGGTAATTATCGATATGTATGTTCCTATTCCAATTTTCTAAATTGTTTTGTGTTCGTTATTATAGATCTTAGTATGGGCATTTTGACAAATTCTTCTGATTCCTCAACATGGGATATAATTCCATTTGTATTTCCTCAAATTCTTGCATCAAAGTCTAATAGATTTTAGGTAGTGTTCCTTGGTTAAATTTATTCTTGAGTCTTTTTATTTCTTTTTAATATTTATTCCTTAGTGTTTGATTTTTATGCTATTGTGAATGATGTTTTTTCTGTACTTCTTTTTTAGATATTCATTGCTAGTGTATAGAACACAACTGATTTCTGTTGATTTTATATCTTGCCACTTTGTTGAATTTATTTCTTAGTTATAACAGTATTGTGTTGAGTCTTCAGGATCTTACATTTAAGATCATATCATCGGCATATAAACACAATTTTACTTCTTTCTTTCCTAATTGGATGCTTCTTATTTCTTTTCCTTGCCTGATTTCTCTGTCTAGGGCTTTCAGAATTATGTTGAATAAGAGTTGTGAAAGAGGACATGAATATTCATGTCTAATATTAGAGGGAAAGATTTCAAACTTTCAGCACTGAGTATGATGTTAGCTGTGGTCTTGTCATATATGGCCCTTATTGTGTTGAGATACATTTCTCAATATCAAATCAGTTGAGAGTTTTTATCATGAAGGATGTTATATTTTGTCACATGCTTTTTCTACATCTATTGAGATGATCATATACTTTTTATCCTTCAGTCTATTAATTTATTGTGTCATATTTATTGATTCGCATATGTTGAACCAACCTTGTATCCGAGGGATAAATCTCAGTTGATCAATATGTATGATCCTTTCAATGTGTTGTTTGATTAAGTTTGCTAGTTCTCTGTTAAAATTTCTTCATCTATATTTATCATGGATTTTGGCTTGCATTTTTCTTTTCCTATAATGTCTGGTATCAGTGTAATGTTGGCCTCATAGAATGAGTTTGGAAATGTTCCCTCCTCTTCAATTTTTTCAGGGGATTAGAAAAGAAGTGGCATTATCTTAATGTTTATTGAATTCACCAGGGAATCTCTCTTGTCCTGGGCTTTCCTATGTTGCGAGAGTTTTGATTATTGATTCAACCTCCTTACTCGTTATTGGTCTGTTTAGATGTTCTATTTCTTCCTGATTCACTGTTGGTATGTAGTATATTTGTTGGCATTTATCCACTTCTTCTAGGTTATCTCATTTGATGGCCTATAATTGTTCATAGTAATCTTTTATGAGCCTATGTATTTCTGTAGTATCAGATGTAATATAACCTCTTTTATTTCTGATTTGTTTTATTGAGACCTCTCTTTTTGTCTTAGTCTAGTTAAATATTTGTCCATTTTATCTTTTTTTGTTATGTCTATTTCATTCATTTCTGCTCCATTTGTTATTTCTTTCCTTATGCTTACTTAGGTATTGAATTGTTCTTCTTCTAGATTCTTGAAAGTTACGTTGTTTATTTTGATATCTTTCTTTTTTTTATGTAAGCATTTATGGCTAAAATATTTCCTCTTAAAACTGCTTTCGCTGCATCCCATAAATTTTAGTACGTTGTGTTTTCATTTTCATTCATTTCAATATATTTTGTAATTCCCCTTTAGATTTTCTTTGAGTCAATATTTTTTTCAGGGTTTTGTTGTTCAATTTTGTGAATTTTCCAGTTTTCCTCCTTTTATTTCTAGTTTTACATCATAGTGGTTGAAAATGTACTAGATATAATTTTAATCTTCTTATTTGCTAAGACTTGTTTTGTGATATATCATATGGTTTATCCTGGAGAATGTCCATGTGCTCTTGAAAGAATGTATATGCTGCTGCTGCTGTTGGATGGAATGTTCTATACATTTCTTTTAAGTTTCTTTGGTCTAAGCATAGTTCAAGCCCAAAGTTTCTTTATTGATTTTCTACCTGGATAATCTCTCCTCTGTTGAAAGTGTGTATTGAACCCTACTGCTATTATTGTATCATCATCTATTTCTCCCTACAGTTCTGTAAGTATTTGCTTAATACAATTAGCTTTTACAATATTGGGTACATATACATCTATGCTTGTTATACTCTCTCGATTAATTGATCCCTTGGTCATTGTATAAGAAACTTCTTTGTCTCCTTTTACAGTTTTTGATTTAAAGTTTATTTTTTCATATAAGTATAGCTACTTATGGTCTCTTGGCTTCCATTTTTTGGAATATTTTTTTCGTCCCTTCACTTTGGAGCTATGTTTGTCTTCGAAAGTGAAGTGAATCTATTGTAAATAGCATATTGTTGGTCTTGTTTTTGATCCAACCTGCCACACTATGCCTTTTGATTGGAGAAATTAAGCCATCTACACAAAATGTAATTACTGACAGGTAAAACTTACTGATGCTCTTATTAATTGTTTTCTTCCAGTTTTGTTTCCCTTGTTCCTTGTTCATTTCTCCCTCTCTTGCTCTCTTCCATTGGGAATGGTGATTTTCCATAGTGTTACACTTTCATTGCCTTCTCTTTATCTTTTGTGAATCTACTGTAGGTTTTTGCTTTATAGGTACCACAAGTTACATACATAACATATCTTACAGATATTATACCTATTTTATACTAGCAATTTAACTTTGATCATGTCCAAAATTCTACCTTTTTACATCTCCTTTATGTTTTTGATTTTTCAATTTACCTCATTTTAGATTGTGTATTCATTAACAAATTATTTAATCTATATTTTAATATTCTATCCTTTAACATTTATACTAGAGTTCAATGATTAATAAACCACCATATTACAAAACAGAATATTTTGAGTTTTATTATATACTTACCTTTACCAGTGTGATGTATATTTTTATGTTACTAGTTAGCATCCTTTCAACAACAACTTGCAAGTTAAGTCTAGTAGTGATTAACTCCCTTAGCTTTTGTTTGTCTGAGAAAGTCTTTACCTTTCCTTCAATTCTGAAAAAAATACTTTGACAGAGTATCCTTTGTTGGCAGGGTTTTTTTTTTTTCCCTCACTTTCAGCACTTTGAATATATCATCACATTTTTTCCTAACCTGTAGATTTCTCCTGAGAAATCTGCTGATAGCCTTGTGCAAATTTCCTCATTAGTTACAAGCTTCTTCCCTCTTTGTTTTCTTTGGTTTTGATCGTTTTCTTTCTTATGTGTCTTGTAGAAGATATCTTTAAGTGAGTTTATTTGTTGAACCATAAGCTTCATGAACTTGGATATCAAAATTCCTCGCCAAATTTCGGAAGGTCTCAACCATTATTTGTTTAAATAAGTTTTCTGCAACCTTCTCCCTTTTTCTTCTGGGACTCAAATAATTTGAAAATTGTTTCTTTTCATTGATTCCCATAGAATATCTAGCCTTTTTCACCTTTTTTTATACTTTAGCTTTTTGTTGTTGTTGAAATATAATGGACATACAACACTGTATTAGTTTTAGGTGTAAGACATAAAGATTTGTATGCAAAATTATTACAACAATAAATTTAGTTAACATCCATCACCATACATATTTACAACATATTTTCTGTAATGAGAACTTTTAAGAATTACTCTCAGCAATTTTCAATATACAATACAACACTGTTAACTATAGTCACCATGCTGTATATTACATCACCAGGAGTCATTTATTTTATAACTGGAAGTTTGTTCATTTTGACCATCTTCACTTATTTTACCCACTCCCAATAACTTGCTGTTGGCAACTACCAATCATCCCTCTGTATCTATTAGTTTTCTTAGATTCCAGATATAATAAGATCATATAGGATTTCTCTTTCCCTGTCTAACATAATTAGCTTACCATAGTGCCCTAATGTTACATCATTGTGGATATAAATGGTAGGATTTCCTTTTTCATGGCTGAATAATATTCTTTTGTATATTTCACCACATTTTCCTTAATCTATGCATCTTCCAATGGACACTGAGATATTTACATGTCTTGGTTATTTTAAATAATGCTGCAATGAATAGGGAGATGCACATTTTTTGTAAGATGGTGATTTAGTTTCTTTTAGGTAAATATTCCAAGGTGGAATTGCAATTTTGTGAGGAATCTCCATACTGTTTTCTAAAATGGCCAGACCAATTTACATTCCATCAATAGTGCATAAGTATTCCCTTTTCTCCACATCTTTGCACTTGTTGTTTCCTGTCTTTTTGATAGTAGGCATTCTAACAGGTGTAAGGTGATAGCTCATGGTTCTGATTTGCATTTCCCTGATGATGAGTGATGTTGAGTACTTTTTCATATACCTTTTGGCTATCTGTATGTCTTCACTGAAAAAAAATGTCGATTTGATACTCTGCTTATTGTTTAATTGGATTTTCTCCTATTGACTTGTATGAGTTATATCTAAACTTTGGGTATTAACTCCTTCTAAGATATATGGTTTGCAAATATTTTCTCCTATGTAGTAGGTTATCTTTTCATTTTTTTTGGTTGTTTTCTTTGCAAAGACATTTTAGTTTGATGTAGTTCCAGTTGTTTATTTTTGCTTTTGTTACCTTTGCTTTTGGTGTCAAATCCAAACAATCATTGCCAAGACTGATGTTAAGGAGCTCCTCCTCTACATTTTCTTTTAGGAGTTTTATGGTTTCAGGTCTTAAGTTCAAGTTTTTAAAATCCACTTTGAGTTGATTTTTGTGTATGGTGTAATATATTAGTCCAGTTTCATTCTTTTGCATGTGGCTGTCCAGTATTAACAATACTATTTATTGAAGAGACTATCCTTTCACCATTTTATATTATTGGCTTCTTTTTCATAAATTAATGCTACAAATTAATTGAGCATATGTGCATGGGTTTATTTCTGGGCTCTCTATTCTGTTCCATTTATCTCTGTGTCTGTTTTTACATCAATAACATAGGGTATTGATTATTATAGTTTTGTAAGATAGTTTGAAATCAGGAACTGTGAAGCCTCCAACTCTATTTCTCTTTCCTAAGATTGCTTTGGCTACATGGGGCTTTTTGTGGTTTCATGCAAATTTTAGGATTATTTGTTTTATTTCTGCAAAACATGTCATTATACTTTTGATAGGCAATGTATTGAATCTGTATATTGCTTTGTGTTGTATTGATATTTTAACAGTATTAATTCTTCGAATTCAGGAGCACAGAATACTTTTCCATTAATTTTGTGTCTTTTTCAATTCATATTATCATTGTCTTATAGTTTTCAGTGTACAGACTTCTTAACTTCTTGGCTAAATTTATTCCTGTGTATTTTATTCTTTTTGATGTAGTTGTGAATTTGCAAATTGCTTTGTATACTGAAAGTTTACTGAATTCATTTATTTACTCTAACAGTTTTTTGGTGGCGTCTTTAGCGTATATACATATATATATATATGTATATATATATATATATATATGTAAATAAAATTCTACTTTTTTCTTTGAATCACTTTTTTCTTGCTTAATTGCTCTTGCTAGGACTTCCAGTACTATTTTGTATAAAAGTGGCAAAAGTGGTCATCTTTGTCTTATTCCTGATCTTAGAGGAAAAGCTTTCAACTTTTTACCATTGAGAATGTTGTTAGCTGTGGGGTTGTTGTATATGGTCTTTATTATGTTGAAGTACATTTCCTCTATACACACTTTGTTGAGAATTTTCATCAAGAATGTATACCACATTTTATCAAATGCTTTTCTGCATCTTTTGAGATTATCATGTGATTTTTATCCTTTATTTTGTTAAAGTGGTGTATCACGTTGATTGATTTGCAAATGTTTAGCCATCTTTGAATCCATGGACCAAATCCCATTTGATCACGGAGTTTAATATTTTAATGTATTGTTGAATTCAGTTTGCTAATATGTTGTTGAGGATTTTTGCATCTATGTTTCTCAGCGTCGTTGGGCTGTAATTTTATTATATTGTAGTGTCCCTGTCTGATTTTGTTTTCAGGCTAACACTGACCTCATAAAATGAGTTTGTATGTGTTTCCTTCTCCTATTTTTTGAAAGAGTCTGAAAAGGATTGGTAGTAATTCTTTACTTGTTCAGTAGAATTTACCAATGAAGTCATATAGTCCTGGACTTTTCTTTATTGGGTCATTACTTTTTCTTTGTTTTCCTCTGACTTGATAATTTTAAAGTTACTTTTTCTGGCATACAGGGTTTTTTTCTACTTGATCCCTTCTGATGTTTATGCTCTCTATTGCATTTTTATTTTATTAATTGCAATATTCAGCTCTAGTATTTCTATTTTGTTCTTTTTTATGATTTCTATCTGTTTGTTAAACTTCTCATTGTGTCCTTGCATTATTTTCCCAATTGCTAAATTGTCTTTCTGTACCTTTTTGTAGCTCATTGAACTTCGTTTAAACAGCTATTTTGAATTATTTATTTGGTAAATCAAAAATTCTCATGACTTTGAGATTGGTACTAGGAGATTATTGGGATCCTTTGATGGTGTCATGTTTCTTTAGTTTTCTGTATTCCTTGATGTTTTGTGTTGCTGTCTTCCCATTTGAAATAGCATTCACCTCCTCCAGTTATTACTAACTGCGTTCCAGAGAGAAATATTTTCCATCAGCTGTATTAGAGATCTTAGATTTTCTCAGGCCTTCTATGGTATTGTACATCTGATCCATGTTTCTTGCTCTGTCTTGTGGCAGAATTCTTAAACTTGTATGTCTTCTCTCAGTCTTACAGTGCAACAGAACAAGTGCTGACAGCCTTTCCCTTTTTTCCCAAATGTGGCACTAAAGTACAAGTTTGTTGTCTGTCCCTGGCCTGCAGATTTATGTTAGTTTTCTGTGTATGCTCATTACCCACCTGCCAAAACTTGCTCTTAATGCCACCATTAGGTACATTTATAGGGATTTGGCCAAAGAAGAGAGGGATATGTGGATGAGCCATGCAGAACCTTTGGGGTGCCCATAAGCCAGTTGGGTGTATCCATTGTCGAGACATCCACAGTGGCTTATTGACAAGGTTCTTGATGGAGTCTGCAAGGCAGGTAGTAGTATCCAAGTCCCTTTAATGACCTCCAGGTATCCAATATACCACTCTTCCAGCTTCTTCCCTCCCAGCCATGCAACTTATAATTCAGTAATCCTCTCAAATGCCTTCAAACTTGTATTTTTTCTCCAATGGTGTGTTGGAAATTCTCTGCTGGAAACCTGTATTTCCACAAAAACTCTCTCATCCATGGGTGATTTTCTGAGGCAGTGCTCTCCAGGGACTCTTGGATCACTACTAAGAGGGGCTGTAGCTGGTTCATTAGCAACTGCAGAGTCCACAGATGAGACCAAGGTCTGTATGACTATTGCCTGATGCATGGGTGAGTAAGACTCTTCCTGGGTTTCCTGGCAAATAGGTCTGGATACCACAGCTCTTACAAAGGTGATTTTATCTGTGAATGGAAGACAAATTGTTGTTTTTTGAGGTGGGTTACAAATGAGGAACATCTTATTCAGCCATGTTGCTAACATCACACTTTGAGATCTACTATTTTCTGTGTGCCAGGCTCTGTATTGGGCACCAATGACAAAATTATCAGTCACTTTCATTTAGCCATGAATCTAAAAGTGGCATGAACTAATTTCTACATATATACCATTGTGGACTGAAGCATAAAGTAATTTTGTAAATCAAGTTTTTCTCTAGCACCATCTTAAACTTTCTCTTGTATTAATGAACACTGATGATAAGCATCATTCCCATCAGATTCCATCTGGGATATAATTTTATGTGGCTGGCACTGTCCATTAAACAATGTCTGATTTCTCCACATTCCTTAGAGAGAGAGGCATGACTTTATTATCACCTAAATAACTTATATTCTTCATTTTGTTTTTAAGTACTTTGGCTAGTTCTAGCTGTATGTACTGTGGTGTTCACTGCACTTCCATCTGAAACAAGAATTCCTCAAATAAATATGCTCCTTATTAGAAGTTATTTTCAAACCAAGAGACAAAAAGTTATTTACAAATTAAAATGTAGCTTACCATGATATACTGGATACCTCAGGTTTCTATACTGACCAAATTTATGAAACGTCTTTTCCACCTTTATGACTGAATCTTTGACTCCCCTCTGACATTGTAGATATGCTAGCTCCTTAATTTTAGGTATACATGTTCTAATTGGACAAATGTATTTCTTTTTAATTTTTAAGATTCTGTCATTATAAAAATATACAGAAGCCAATCATGAGTAAACGTTTTTTTATCTAACAGTTTCCCGGGCTGGAGTCCCTACATTCTATGTAGAAACAATAGGTTAAACTATACGGAAGAACAGGATTTCTCCAACTGATCCCTAACCTGTTTTAACAATTCCATCAACCAACAGTGACACTTACCTATTCTTCATAGGTTCAGTGACAGTGCAGAGTTTCAGGAGTGAGATAACAGAAAAAATGTTTTTCTGCACTCAGTATGGCTGGTGTGTTTATGAACCATTATGCCTTTTGGATTTTATTATGTCTGGGCGATTTTCCAAAATTTTATGAACATGGTGTTTCTGGACTTTCCTGGATTGAAGCATGATTAAGTATCTGGGTAATATCTTAGTCTACTCATGAAAACACTGACCAGATGGAGCTGGACTGTCTCCAATAGCATCAACAATTTTGCCAAAAATTTAGAATTATGAATTTTATGAAGTTCAAGTCAAGTGTTTGGTGTATGTAACATCCTCACAAGGGATTGGGATGGACCTCTGGAAAGTCAGATGAGTACTGGTTAGGACACACATCTAATTCTAAAATAAACTTTCAATAATCTTTCACATTCCAAAGATGATTATATTAGGTTACTACTCCCTTCTGTGGCCCCTGCTCTCTCTAACAAATCTTCTGGGGAAATAGTAGGCACTTCAATGAATACCTTAGTCCCAGGAAACTTTCAAGGAATTAAAACACAAGTTCATTTCTAGTCACCTCCTTGTATATATTGCCCCTAGAGATGTATGTTATATTCAAGTATTCTACTCTCTTCATCTTAAAAAATATAAATCTCTGGATTTCACACTCCCTCATCTATCTATCTATCATCTATCTATATATCTATCTCTATTTCTATCTCTATCTCTTTCTCTCTCTCTATGTTCTCCTTCAGAGCTAACTTTTTTAAAAGGGCAATCTATACATGGGCAAGGTTTGTGACATTTAGTAAATAAAAATACAGAACTTTCTGTATTTTGTCTGGCAACTCTAAAATTTCTCAAGGTATTATTTACACTATTCCCAGTCAGTTCTCAACTCCAATCAGTCACCCACCTACACCCTTTCATTGAAACCCGTATTGCCGATGATCTTTATGTTGAAAAGTTATATGGAAAAAAATCTAGTTTATTTGGTCTCTTATCATTGGACATTTGACCTCCCTCTTCTTAAAGCACTCTCTTTCCTTGGCTTATATGACATTAAACTTTTAACTTTATCCACTTTATCTCAAGCTCTTTACCTTTGCTATCTAGTCTTTTAAATATGGAGCTCCTCAGAGTTTCATTCTGGGTGCTCTTTTCTTTCTCTACTGGATTTCCTCTCAAAAGGAAATCTCATCCAGTCTTACAATTTTAACTGTTATCTATACACTGCTTACTTTTAAATTTGTACTTCCAGTTACCAACTTCCAGAATGTTATATTCAGCTACCTACTTAATATCTGCATTTAAATGTAACCCAGGCAAGTGAAACAGAATATTTTTCAAACTGAATATTCGACACTCACTTGTTCAACCTGTATCTCAATCAATATTTTCCATTTTAGTAAATATTACCTTCCCATTGCACACTTCAGAAAGTGGAAGTAGTCATTGACACCTCCTTCTATCATATATCCCATAGCCACTCAAACAACAAGCTCTGTAGATTATTCCTCCAACATATAATTCTAATAGATCACTCATTTTCATTCCCATTTCCACTATGCCACTCTCTTAAGGAAACCCTCCCTGTCCTCTAGTCATTCTACTAGTATAAGAACGCAGAAAACAATGTATCTATTCTTCATATTGTTTGCCACAATTACATTTTTCATGTTCAAGACTTTTAGATTTATAAATGTCTATCTCTTTCACTAGCTTGTATAATCCATGGGAGTCTCATTTTAGTCTGCTTAGCATAGTACCTGGTAAATAATAGGTGGTCAATAAATATTTGTTGAATTAATTATATAATTTAAAATAGCAACAAATGAGAATTTACCACATTCCAGGAATGATGCTAATGCTTTACATGGGATTTTCTCATTTAATGATCTCAATTAGCTTATAAGAAGTTTATTATTATTTCCATTTATATTGATGAGGAAATTCAGTCCCTGAGAGTCTAAAAATCTCACACAAATTTACACAAAGTGAAAGAGGCAGAGATTCAATTTAAAACTGTTTCTTATTTTTTTGTTTGACTATTTAGTTTAATTTATTTTACTTTTTCCAGCTTTATGAGGTATAATTTACAAATAAAAGTTGTATAAATTTAAGGTATGCAACATGATGGGTTTTTTTTTCTTCCAGTTTTATTGAGATCTATTTCGCATACAGCACTGTATATGTTTAAGGTGTACAGCATAATGATTTCACTAACATACATCATGAAATGAGTATCACAATAAGTTTAGTGAACATCCATCATCTCATATAGATACAAAATTAAAGAAGAATTGTTTTGTGATGAGGATTCTTAGGATTTACTCTCTTAAAAATTTTCATATATAACATACAGCAGTGTTAATTATATTTATCATGTTGTACATCATATACCTAGTACTTATTTATCTTATAACTGGAAGATTGTATTTTTGACTGCCTTCATCCAATTTCCCTTCCTCAGACCCCCCGCCTCTGGTAACCACATATCTGTTCTCTTTTTCTATGAGTTTGTTTGCTTGTTTTTGAAATATAATTGACCTGCAACACTATGTTAGTTGCTGTTACACAAAATAATGATTTGGTATTCCTATAAATTTCAAAATGATAACCAGGATAAGTCTAGGTAGGATATGTCACCATTCAAAGATATTACATAGTTATTGACTATATTCCCCACACGGTACATTTCACACTCATGACTTATTTATTTTGCAGTTGGAAGTTTGTACCTCTTGTATCCCTCAACTGTTCCTTTTCTCTCCCCACCCCACTCCCTTCTGGCAACCACCTGTTTGTTCTCTATATCTATAACTCTGTTTCTGTTTGATTATGTTTGTTCATCTGTTTTATGTTTTAGATTCTACATATAAGTGAAATTATACAGTACTTATCTTTATCCGTCTGACATATTTCATTTAGCATAATAACCTCTAGGTTCATCCATGTTGTAGCAAATGGTAAGATTTCATTATTTTTATGGCTGAGCAATATCCCATTGTACATATATGCCACATCTTCTTTATCCATTCCTCTATTGATGGGCATATGAGTTGCTTCTATATCTTGGCTATTGTAAATAATGCAGCAGTGAATAGGGGTGCATCTAACTGTCTAATTAGTGTTTTTGTTTTCTTTGTTTAAATATACAGGAGAGAAGTTTCTGGATCATATAGTAGTTCTATTTTTAATTTTTTGAGGAATCTCCATACTGTTTTCCACAGTAGCTGCACCAATTTACATTCCTACCAACAGTGCATGAGGGTTCCCTTTTCTCCACATCCTTACCAACACTTGTTATTTGTTGTATTATTGATAATAGCTATTCTGACAGGTTTTAGGTGATACCTCATTGTGGGTTGATTTACATTTCCTTGATGATGAAGTGATGTTGAGCATCTTTTCATGTCCTTGTTGACCATCTGTATGTCTTCTTTGGAAAAATGTCTATTCAGATCCTCTGCCCATTGTTAAATCAGGTTTTTTTAAATGTTGAGTTGTATGAATTCTTCATATATTTTGCATATTAACCCTTTATTATTTGCAAATATCTTCTACCATTTAGCAGGTAGCCTTTTCTTTGTTCATATTTTCCTTTGCTGTGCAAAAGAATTTTAGTTTGATGTAGTTCTATTTGTATATTTTTACTTTTGTTTCCTTTGCCTGCAGAGACATATCCAAAATATTAAGACAACTGATGTGAAAGATTGTACTGCTTATGGTTTCTTCTAGAAGTTTTCTAGTTTTAGGCCTTACATTTAAATTTTTAATCCATTTTTGAATTTATTTTTGTGCATCAGGTGAGAGAGTGATCCAGTATTTTTTTTGGGGGGGGGTACACAGGACTCCCACTGTTGTGGCCTCTCCTGTTGCGGAGCACAGGCTCCGGACACGCAGGTTCAGTGGCCGTGGCTCACAGGCCCAGCTGCTCTGCAGCATGTGGGATCTTCCCAGACCAGGGCACGAACCCATGTCCCCTGCAACAGTGGGCAGACTGTCAACCACTCGGCCACCAGGGGAGCCCCCTGGTCCAGTTTGATTATTTTGCATTTAGTTGTCCAGTGTTTCCAACACAGTTTATTAAAGAAGCTACCTTTTTCTCATTATACATTTTGCCAACCTTGTCACAGATTAATTGCCCATATAAGTGTGGGTTCATTTCTGGGATCTCCTTTCTATTCACTTGATACAAGTACTACACTGTTTTGATGACTGTACCTCTGTAGTATAGTTTGAAATCAAGGAGCATGATTCTTTCAGGTTTGTTCTTCTTTCTTAAGATTGTTTTGGCTATTGTAGGTCTTTTTGTGGTTCAATATAAATTTTAGAATTATTTGTTCTACTTCTGTGGAAAATGCCATTGGTATTTTCATAAGGATTGCATTGAATCTGTAGGTTGCCTTGGGTAGTATGATTATTTTATCAATATTACTTCTTCCCACCTATGAGCATAGAATATCTTTCCATTTGTTCGTGTCATCTTTAATTAATTTAATCAGTGTCTTATAGTTTTTTGAGTACAGATCTTTTACCTCCTTGGTAGATTTATCCCCAGGTATTTTATTATTTTTGATGCAATTGTAAATTGGATTATTTTCTTAATTTCTCATTTTGATAGGTCATTATTAGTGTGTAGAAATGCAACAGCTTTCTGTGTGTTAATTTTGTTTCCTGCAACTTTACCAAATTCATTTTTTTTTAATTTTTTATTTTTTTTTGTTTTGTTTTTGTTTTGTTTTTTAACATCTTTATGGGGTATAATTGCTTTACAGTGGTGTGTTAGTTTCTGCTTTATAACAAAGTGAATCAGTTATACATATACATATGTTCCCATATCTCTTCCCTCTTGCGTCTCCCTCCCTCCCACCCTCCCTATCCCACCCCTCCAAGCTGTCACAAAGCACCAAGCCAATATCCCTGTGCCATGCGGCTGCTTCCAGCTAGCTATCTACCTTACTACGTTTGTTAGTGTGTATATGTCCATGACTCTCTCTTGCCCTGTCACAGCCAAATTCATTTATTAGTTCTAATACATTTTTGGTGGCATCTTTAGGATTTCCTATATAAAATATCATGTTATCTGAAAAAAGTTATAGCTTTACTTCTTCATATCCAAATTTTATTTCTTTCTCTCGTCTGAATACTGTGGCTAGGACTTCCAATATTATATCAAGTAAATGTGGTGAGAGTGGGCATCTTTGTCTTGTGCCTGATATTAGGGAAAATGTTTTCAGTTTTTCAACATTGAATAGGATGTTGGCTGTAGATTTGTCACATATAGGCTTTATTATGTTGAAGTATGTTTCCTCTGTACCACTTTGTTGAGAGTTTTTATGATAAATGACGTTGAATTTTGTCAAAAGGTTTTTCTGTATCTATTGCAATGATATATGATTTTTATTATTTGTTAATATGGTGTATCATATTGACTGATTTGTGGATATTTATTTATTTGTGGATCCTTGCATCTGTAGGATAAATCCCACTTGATCATGATGTATGATCCTCTTAATGTATTGTTAAAATCAGTTTGCTATTATTTTGTTTAGTTTTTCTGCATCTGTATTCATCAGTGATAATGACCTGTAATTTTTCTTTTGTTGTGGTGCTCTTGTCTTGTTTTGTGTCAGAGTGATTCTGGCCTCACAGAATGTATTCAAAAGTGTTTCTTCCTCATTTTTTTGGAATAACTTGAGAAGGATAAGTGCTATTTTTTTTTTAATATTGGGTAGAATTCACCTGTGGAGCAATCTGGCCCTAGACTTTAGTTTGTTCAAATTTTTTAAATTACTGATTCAAGTTCATTACTGGTAATCGTTCTTTCATATTTTGTATTTCTTCCTGATTAAGTCTTGGGAGATTGTACATTCCTAGGAATTCATCTATTTCTTCTAGATTGTCCAATTTATTGCCATATAATTGTTTCTAGTAATCTCTTATGATTTGTTTTATAGTGAATAGAAAGTTTTTATTTATTTACTTGAATTTTGCTTTAATAGCCACTGAAAAGACTGTTTCATTTCCTCTCACTGACCCTGTCCATCAGTTATGGTGTTGGTTGCAACTTCTTTTTTATTTCAGGTTTTATTTATTTGGGTCTTCTCTATTTCTTTTCTTGATGAGTCAGCTAATGGTTAAACAAATTTTCAAAAAGTAGGGGATACGTTTATACAATACATTATTAGTATCTATAGTTAACCTCTTGTCCATTAGATCTCCATACATCATTAATCCTGCATAATTGAAACTTTGTACCTTTGATCAACATCTACTCATTTTCCCCAAACTTCAGCCCCTGGTAAACACAATTCTACTCTCTGCTTTAATGAGTTCAGCATTTTTGGTTCCACATATAATGAGATCATGCAGTATGTGTCTTTTTATGTCTGGCTTATTTCACTTACCAAAATGTCTTCCATATTCATCCATGTTGTTGCAAATGGCAGGAATTGCTTATTTTTTAGATCAGTGTTATATAGAATTGTCTTATATGTATTTTAATACATAACAATATATGTATGGCAATTTTTTTTGTCCATTGATCCATTGACTGACACTTAAGATCATTTTCATATCTTGGCTACTGTGAATAATGCTGCCATGAACCTGACAGTGCAGATATATTTTTCAGATAGTGATTTTATTCCTTTTCAATATATCCAGACTTGGGTTTGCTGGATCATGTGGAAGTTTTATGTTTACTTTTTTTAGGAAACTCCGTACTCTTTTCCATTATGATTGTACCACTTTACATTCCCACCAATGGTGCACCAATGTTTCCTTTTCTCCACATCTTCTCCAATATGTATCTCTTATCTTGTTGATATCCATTCAAACATGTGTGAGGTGATATCTCATTGTGGTTTTGCTTTGCATTTTCCTGATGACTTGTGATGTTGAGAACATTTTCATCTCTCTGTTGGCCATTTGTAGGTCTTCTTGGAGAAATGTCTATTCATGTTCATTGCCCATTTTTAAATGAGGTTATTTGTTTTTGTGTTATTTAGTTTTAGGTATTACTTATATTTTTTAGATGTTAAGTTATCATCAGGTGTATGGTATGCAAATATTTTCTCTGATTCAGTCAGTTGTCTTTTTATGTTTTTGGTTGTTTCCTTTACTCTGCATAAGATTTTTAGTTGAATTGAAAACCCCTTATCTATCTTAGGTTTTGTTGCTTTTGCTTTTGGGGTGATATCCACAGTGATAAGAAGCTTTCCTCTGTACATTTTCTTCAAGTGGTTTCACAATTTCAGGACTTATGGTTACATTTTTTTAGCCTTTTGAGTTGATTTTTGTATGTAGTGTGAGATAAGGGTCCAATTTCTTTCTTCTGTATATGGATATCTACTTTTCCAAATACAATTTATTGAAAAGACTATCATTTCCCCATGTTTGTTCTTCATACTTTTCTTCAAACATAATTTGACTGTAGATTTGCAGATTTATTTCTGGGATACATATCCTGTTAATTTATCTATATGTCTTTCTTTGTTATTTTTTTTTTTAAACAGGGAGTACCTTATTGTTTTGATTTCTGTAGGTTTGTAATGTATTTTGAAATAAGGAAATGTGATGTCTCCACCTCTTCTTTCCCTGTACAAGATTGCTTTGGCAATATGGTATTTTTCTGGTTCTATATAAACTTTAGGATTTCAAAGTGTTTTCTGTAAAAAACAGTCACAGCAATTTTGATAATGATTTTGTTGAACCTGCAGATCACATTAGTATGGATTTTTAAAACTACTAAGTCTTACAATCCAGGCATTTGTGATATCTTTCCAATTAGTTGTGTCTTACTTAATTTCTTTCATCCATATTTTATAGTTTTCAGTACATAGATATTTCCCTTCCTTGGTTAAACTTGTTCCTAAGTATTTTATTCTTCTTGATGCTGTTGTAAATGGGATTTTTTTCCCTCCATTATTCTTTGGATAGTTGGTCAAGCTGAAGGTTTTTCAATTTTTAAAAATATTTTCAAAATACCAACTTTTAGTTTTAACATTTTAGTTATTTTCCTAGTTTCTGTTTTGTATATTTCTAATCTAATCTTTATTAATTCCTTCCTTATGCTGAATTTAGGTTTAATTTATTACTTATTTTCTAGTTCTTTACAGTGTTATGTTAGGTTTTCTTAATATGAAATCTGCCTTCATTATTACATAGGGTTTCATCACTATAAACTTCCTTCTTAGGGAGATCACTGTTTCGGGGTGCGTGAGGAGAGGGGATTCAGAGCACTGCCATAATGAGCTCCAGAGCTGGGTGTGAGCTGTGGCTATCAGCATGGATGCCAGAGACAGGCATGAAATGCTAAGACTGCTGCTGCAAGCACCAAGAGACCTGTGTGGAAGCACAGGTCACTACCCACACCTCCCCTCCAGGGAGACTGCAGCCCACCACGGCCAGATTCCCATGATCCAGGGAAAATTTCCCTGGGAGAACGCATAGTATGCCTCAAGCTGTTAAAATGTCACACGGGACTCTGCTGCAACAGGCTCCCCCCGCATTCCATACCCGTCCCTCCCCCTGGCCTCAGTGATCCAGAGCCTCCTAATCAGCTGCTATTTAACCCATCCTGTCTGGGTGGGGAATAGATGCCCTCAGGCG